CAACGACAGCAACAACGACAGCAATTGAGAAGTGAAAGCTTCAAATTGATGGCAGCGCAAAAGGCACCTTACCAAGCACTATCGGGAGCCTGAGATTGGCTGGGTGCCCAAAAGAAGTGGGTATGGTCTACGTACGCAGCTTTTTTGGTATACGTGCCCAGGAAATGCGATGGCAAGGCAACCATAGCAATAAAAGGGAGCCGAGAAGGGAAGCATCCCACACGGAGGGACAATGTTCAAATTCTTCCTAAAGGCTACACTGAGTTGATTTATTGACTAACATTGAGCAAGGTAAGGGCCCCAAGTTAGAAATGGCCTCGAGTTAGTTCACATGTCATCAACATCGGCAACCGCTAACGAGAGAACTTCCGCTTTCGAATAAGAACTAAGCACAGGACGGGTATTGAATATTCAAGTACGGTAAATATTGAGTACCGGTAATACCACAACCAGTACACCACATTGGGTTTCATGAGGATTGTTTCGCCCGGGTCTGTTGCTTTGCCGGTGTTCAGGCTTTGGTCTCTCTTGTGATGCTGTTGTCGGTTCGGTTCCCGTGCCAGGAATGTGGAATGTTCAATAAGGTGACCCACCGAGTTCTCCACCTATCATTGTACAAAAAATAAGCGCCTGGTTTGTTACGGTGACAATGCCGTCTAAGTGCCCCCAAAAGAGGCTTATCAGCACATACTCGGATGAGTCACAAACAACGATGCCGTTCATATTTCTAAACCTGGTGGATAATCATATCACAGCAAGAGGGTATTTGTCATGACAAGACAGAGAGACAGAGCAACAAACGTGAATATTTATAAGGAATTGTGGCTGATTCGCACTAACAGAAAGGCCAAGCAATAAATCGTACGGTCTTGGCTCCGGGCGCCGTTCGCCACTGCACCCCGTGCCCCTGGTCTTTTGGCCCGCCTCAGTGCGTCATGCGTCACTCGTTCCTCCCCGGGGCCTGCAGTGGACAGGTCCGAACTGCAAATTCCAGTTGTTGATCCGCACAAGTGGAATGCATTTCCATTTCTTTCCTTTCTACAAATACCAAATATTTCCCGTCAGGACCAAGGAGAATCACCATCCGCCGTCTTTATCCAACCGACTTTGCCTCCGAATTTCAAATACTGACGACGGCACAATCCTACCTTGGACATTATAAAAAGCACACCCTCCACCCGTATCTCATGGATTTTTTGCTGAACACGACCTACTCATTCGAAAAGTCAGCTACCGCCATCAACGACTACAACGACCATTCACCACCCATACACCAACCCGAGAAGTGATAGCCTTACGCGGCAAGCGATTGGAAATACGAAAGACCACGAACATCATCTCGAACAGACGTTTCTCTCAACAACAACATGCACGATCTACGCAAGAAAGCCCTCTTGGAGAGTGGCAAGACTGTTTCACGGAAGGCTAGAGCGAGACCAGATCCCCCACGCTCTGCTGGTGCTCTCTCCCCCGGCGATGGCTCTCCCGCAAGCTCGCGACCCGGCTCGCGGGCACCCTCAATGGCAGGTTCTCGAGCTGGGAGTCGTGTTCCCTCCGAAGACGAAGCTAGCGACCACGAGTACGATGATGCCATGACTTTGAGCAGCGCCAACTCGGTATCCGGCGAAGATGTTAACGAGGACGATACGAACAATACGTGGCCCGACAGGCTTCAAGACCGCATTACAGAACTTCTAGACCGCAAGAGAAGCAGCGCTCAGGGCCGCGAGGCTACGATGAAGGCATACGAACATATCCTGAAGCACCATTACGCACAGAAGTACATCGAGAGGAACATCTCCGACATCAGCGCCGCCCTCATCCGCAGCATCAGGAGCGGAAGCAGTGACCAGGAACGCCTGTTTGCTCTCAAAGCACTTACAGCCACCATCCTTACCTGCCCCTCGGAGACGATATTCGATCACGTCTGGTCGGTGCTCAAGGTAGCTACTGAAGACGGAGAGGAGGACAAGATCAAGGTCGAGGCCATCAACGCTATCAGCATCGCCGTGACACTCGGGGGCGGTTCATCCAGCGCTGCCGAAGAAGTTCTCGATTTCCTCCTCGAGATCATCGAAAGTGACGGGCAAAATGTGGGTGCCCCCGACAATGGTAGCGTCGTAGCAGCAGCGCTCCGAGCCTGGGCGTTTGTGGCCAGCTACGTGGACGATCTGAGCGTGCAGAGCGACCAAGCCATGGAGGCATTCATGGAGCAACTAGACAGCACAGACAGCGACGTGCAAACGGGTGCCGGCGTCAACATTGCTCTGCTCTTCGAAGCTGCCCGCGACTACGAAGAAGAAACGGGCGAGAAGTCCGACTTGCAGTACAACCAGCACCGAATCATGACCCGCATGGCGGAGATCGTCCGCGACTCTTCCAAGGCGGTTTCAAAGTCAGACCGGAAACAACTGAAGACCAACTTTCAAAGCATTATCACCTCTCTGGAACGGGGCCTGGGTCCCGGGTACTCGACTGCTGGGCGCGGTGCGGCGAATCCCCACACGGGAGGCTCCAAGCTGGAATCAAGTGGCGGAGGCGAGGAGGGCTTTGTCGAGTTTGGATACCGCGAGAAGCTGCGGATTCATAACCAGTCTCTGATTATTGATACCTGGTCACTGCACGCTCGCGTGGAGACATTGAAGACCGTCCTCGGCGGCGGTCTGGCGACACAGTATATCGAGAACCCTGCGGTTCGGGAAGTTCTTGAGGGTGCGGACGTGGAGTATATGGCCAAGACTACCAAGAGGAGGTAGTGAATGATGTTCAGATAGGGAACGAAAAAGGAATCGGGATGTTTATATAACGATGTATGACAGCATCAGGTGGCAATGTTATTTGTTTTGTTTTCTCGCGCGGTTCTAGTTTTTGACAGGAGTATTGGTATATCATTTTAAAGTTTTCCCCCGCAAGGACTTTTGTCAGTGGTTCAGTTGCTATTTCCTCATGTCTCGTCATTGGTTTTCATTTAACAGAGTCATGAACCATCATATAATAGTCGGTCTTCGTATCAATATCCTAAGCTTCACAAATACCAACAGTTCTTTCAGCCACATATATGACTCATGTTTTTGTGTTCCCAAAAAGCTTGTAAGGTCCAGCTGTGAGGAGACATAGTTACCTTGGTTACCTTTCCAAGCACACATTGAGACTTGTGGGATGGAACATTTCAAGCACAGGACCGGACTATCGACATGATAAAACCACTTCTTCGGAACAAAACAGGATGACAGCAGCAGCAGCAGATTGTCTGTCCCCTACCATTTCATTCAGCATCTTCATCATCAGAGTGCCGAGAACGAAAAGGAAAACGCCGCGTAAATTCGGCACAAACAATACAAGGTTACTTTTATAATGACACCTACCTACTGCGTTGTTTTCTGGAAACTGAATGGAAGTATCATAAGTATGGTAGCAAGTGGGACATAAATTGTAAAGGATGAGAATACTTGTTCACGACGACAGTTCTACCGATATGCATGTATCCAGCTTTCTCCTTTCCATTCATCCCTCGGTTACTCCCTCTTCAATATTCATTCTCCCTTCTTGCTTTCACTGTAGTTCTTGACAACGAACCCTTTGAACATCTTCGCCACACAGCCTCGCTCATGGGAACATTTCTGCTAGACCTGTCGATATCCGGAGCTCTATATATGTAGGGAGGTAGGATGTTGCGAATCAACATTAAGGAAGCAGCACTAATATATTCACTCTGCTTCATGTCATGTCTCGCAAGCTCCGCTCATGCCTCATGTAATCTCGACCGAACGATGTCGAGGTATGTACATGTATGCGAGGGAGGGTAAGAGATCTGAGGTGGTCCGGTTTATTGTAGGCTTGTGGGCTTGTGGTACCCCGTAATACTATACGAAACGCAGATGCAAACGAGCGAGGACTGCCTGCGTTGCCTTACAATGTACGATCTATCTGGTAGCATACCGTTTCATCAAAACCATGGTACGTATGGTGTTGTTCGTGATCCCGAACTAGAACGTCATTACTGGGAGCGCCAAGCATACCCGAACAGAACAGGTCCAAGTCCAACAGGCACCTGGCAGGGGCAGCGATCCGAAAAGAAAAAGAACGTGGGAGCGACCAGTTCAGAAACAGGAACCAAGAAGGCGCTCAAGGGCTGAACTGGCCCAGCTGTGAACAGAACCAGGGCAGGCAGTCAACCTGTCGGTGATCTCCTCTGATCTCTTCCTGATCTCATTTGGGTTTGAAAGGTTCCGAATGTTGGTCCAATGTTGGTGATAGTGACGGTACCTGGCAGCAATTTTAGCCGCGGCAGGAGCAGCAAGCAAGCAGAAGCAGAAGCAACCAACATCGTCACCAACATGCGAAAAGGATTTGCATCAACAGCACTGCATCATCATCTGCAGCTCTGCCCTGCCCTGAATTCCGGAGGCCTGTGTTAAGGAGCGGACGGAGGGAGTTGTTTACCATTGATTGCGGGGCTACCGTTTTACCACAAGGTGAGACGGTGAAGACGGAGGGGAGGTGAAGACGTTCGGGAAACGGGAGCAGCTCCGAAGAAGCTAGGTGAAGCTGAGCGGGAGGAGGTGATCAGCACCCCCTTGACCTTGGCCCGAGCTTCCTTCCTGGCTTCAGGTCTGGGTTCCGCTGCCCTTGTTTTTGGGGAGCTTTCCATGGGATCCAGTTTCGGTCGCTCCCAGCCGCCGCCGGGAGGATCCACTTCTTATTTACTTTTTGGGGGATCGTCCACCCATGTTTCGTACTCGTAGTAAGTTTCTTGGTTGCGTTTGGCAGTTGTTTCTTTCCTTGTTTTCATTTGTATCAAGAATTGGGAAGGGATGAAAGCGAGGTGGTTGAAGATGAGTCCCTGACGGGAAGCTTTGAAGAAGGGATTGAAGAATTGACGGAGGGACACAGAATCCCAAAGTGAAGAAGAAGCAGACTCAGAAGCAAGGGGATATTGGATACTGAAAGCTGTGCCACAATGACCGTTTAAACACCTGAGCTTTTCAACCATTCAATATGTCATTGCCCTTTGGACCCGAAGGGGAGAAGTTGAACGGAGCTGAGGTGCATAACGCTGCAGCAAGGCACCTCAAAGCACCCCTGACTCCCACGCGCAATTGGCCGATAACCGTCGAAGCCATGGCCAGCACATCAAGCAAGGCCGGCCGCCATCAGGCAAACCCGGGCGAATCAAGCCGCCATTTGAGGGTTCGGGGTTGGACAGTTGGGGTGATCAGAAAGGGGATGGAAAGAGAAGAAAAAGAAGAAGCACCGTCAGAACATTGAGACCGAAGACATGAAACGGAACCAAGGCTGTGGATGGTGACAGTGACTCGACTGAGAAAAAAACGTGCTGTTGTTGCTGGCGCTACTGCAGCTCTGGCTGTGGAAGTGGAAGGCGAACTGGCGCAGAGCTCCAGCGGTTCCACCATCGGTCCAAGCCTTTTGTAGACATTGATCCATTCGGGAATCGAGCCAAGAAGTCCAGCTCTCCCCAGTCCCAATTCGCGGGCGCCGACTTTTTGGCTCCTCTCCCCGACTTCCCACCGCTCATTCGTCCTTTGCGAAAAGACTTGCGAGACTTGGGCTCACCACCAAATTGCCCCTCGCCGCTCTCCTCTCTTGAGCACCAATCCAGAGGCTCAGGCACCAGTCACTTTTTTTTCCCTCTTTTTCACACGCCAGTCGTCGGTCGCCAGTCGCATCCAACATCCATCTTCTTGTCGCCCTCTCACGTTTTTTTGAGTGCTTCCCCTGCTGCTGCCCCTACAAGCTACAACACGTTGGCGGGTAGCTTCGATTTACCCATATCGCGGCATCCACCTCCACCTGTTAATGGCAACCCGAACGAGCGGAGAATCTTGAATGATCGCTTGCGACAACACGCTTCCATTGCATGCGACAAACTGCTACTATTCCATACTAGACCGACCACCTTTGAGGCCTGCAGCACGCAAAGCATTATAGCATATCCGACACGAGGAGACCATTTACTTGGGAACCCTGAACTAAGCCCGCCCTGGCCGATACATACCTTACCAACAAGCGCGCGTTCGCATAGAGGAATTCATTGCCGACCTCCATCCCGGCTGGTACGTACCTTGGATATACCTTCAGTTGTTCTTCCTCGTTTTCTCCAATGTCCACCACAACCACCCACACCCATTACTTCGTGTCAGCATCGGGCTGGACTGTCCTCTCCAAAAGGGCTGTCCCATTGCTGCCCATTACATAAGGTACATACCTAGGATGGAAACATGGGGGGTCTGGGGGCCTCCTCTCTGTTCAGGGCAGGATTGCGCCCGCCTCTCGATTTTTACGGGACGGAGCACCGCCGCCTACCTTGTCGCTAGCCTGGTTCCTGCCCTGTCATCCCGTCCTATTGTTTTCCTTGGTGCGCGCTTGGCTCCCGTCAGGTTCAGGTTCCATGTTCAGAGTTCCTTCCCCTTGCCGATGCCGTATGTGCCATCATCTCAATCACACTGCACTGCACCACCGTCTGCAACTGCAACCGCAACTGCAACTGCAACCAAACTGCACTGGGACACACTACGGCGCACCTTGGCTTGCGCTTCTCCGTTTTCCAGTTCCAGTTGTTCCCTCTTTCCAGTCCTGTCACGGTCTCCTCATCCTCTCATCTCCATTCACCCAGCCTCTTCCAGCCTCTCCTCCTCAGGCTTGTCCTAAATCACCACTAGTACTCAATCCACCAAACCTCCATTCTAGAGAGAGAGAGAGAGCGAGAGACTAGAGAGGCGCACAGCTTGCATTTCACGTCGCCTCTCAGTTGGCGTTTCCCCCAGTCAAACCAATCTGTTGGTTTTGCCATTTCTCTCGGACTCTGTTTCGCAATTCTACGCTTCTACGAGACGAATTAGCAGCTTACACTGATTTCGTTGGTCCAGCTTCCACTTTTTCTCTGACCACCAGATTTTCCCGCAACCACCAGATGTCGCCTTGAACCGACGGAACGAATAGAGAGACCGCGCAGCTCCGACTCGACAGAACGACGAACCTAATATCCACACGCGCCCTATCCTATTTTCTCCTCATTTTTTAATTACTACCAATATCCTTTTTTTTTATTTCGCCTTTTGGCAACGACATCCGACCACCCTCCACCGAATTGCCGGGAAGAGCCTGCTTTTGAAGAACAGGAACAGGATTTGGAGCAACCGAACTGGCGGGGGACAGCTGCGCTACCCAAGCTACAATCAAGGCCCACTCGCTTGACGACCGTCTGATCTTCGATAGCCTGGCCTAGCCCAACCATCTCTTAGAACCCGCGACGCCCATCACCGTCAACATGGGTGTCGAAACCAAAAAGAAGTCGTCCGAGCGACCACTACCCGTGCCCAGCGCGACCGAGTCCTCGATAATGAGCCCTACCCAGAGCGAGCTGGGAACCGACGACAAGTCATCCTACTCGCTGCCTGAGGACGGCACCCCGGTCACCATCAAGACACACAACCGAGGCAAATCGCAGACTTCGCTGTTGATCGAGTACTTCGAAGGAGGAAAAGGAGCCCCATCTGGAGACGGGCGCAAACCCAGCGTACGTGTTCGCCTCACGCCAAGCCAAAAGTCCAATCGCAAAAGCAGCGGTTCCGATCGAGGTCGCATTAAAATAACAGAAGCAAAGTCAACGAGGAGGTCGAGCCAGAGCCGCCGCGCCGATCGCCATTCCCAAAACGCCCTTGCCCGCTCCGAAAATGAGTTGATGTCCGTCCTGAGCGGAGGCGACGAAGACAACAACTCGTACGCCTCTGCCACC